GGGAAAGTGGCTGTAATCTTTTTTAAAATAACAGTCCCAGTTGCATAAATATTGTTGTCACTGCTTTCCTTTCTCAAGATAGGATTAGGCTTAATTAGCAATGTTCAACGTTCCACCAGAAAACGCATTGAATGGTTTATACACAGATTTATTTAACTGGGCATACGAATATGTTCCAACACTGGGAAAATTCCATCGCTGCCTCAGAAACAAGGAGATTCACCTGCGCTTCGGTCTCTGTTCGCTGGCCTGTTGCAGGCGACGGTTAAATGTCAGGAAACAACTGTCTGTTCTTGACAGTGCCAATTTAATTACAATTCCCTATGTCGAGGATGCTGCCTTCTACCACTGACAGGTTCTTACTGTGGTTTATGTATATCAAAGCATATTTAACACTAAAAGAAAGTCTAAATAAATAATTAATCCAGAGGTGTTTTAGAGTATACCGGAAGGTATATGTAAACACAATTTATGTAAGGAAGTTGAGCAGCGGTGGGGGCTGTGATCGTTTGAGTAACTGTCCCCCCCAAAGACCCACATGTTAAATGCTTGATTACTGGGTACCCCAACTGGGCAGTGGTTGCGCCTTTGGGGGGCCTGTGGGAAGTCATTGGGTGGAGAGCATGCCCTTGGAAGAGGATGACACGACCTTTGGTGGCTCCCTCTCTTTTGGTCCATGGTGCTGATGTGAGCAGCTTCGCTCTCCTACAGCTTCTACCATGACCGCTGTCTCACACGGGCCCAAACCGTGAAGCCAGCCAAGCACAGACTGGAAATTTTAAGCTCTGAGGCAAAATAAACCTTTACTCTTTACAAACCGATTGTGTCAAGTGGAAAGGGACACAATTGTATGCTCACACAAAAGCTCACATAAAAAGTTCAAAGAAACATTATTAATAATGGCTCCAAGACAGAAACAAGCGAAATATGTCCCCAACAGATAAGCAGATAAACAAGCATGGACTGGCCACACAACGCATTGTTATGCATATGTAAAAAGAATGAAATCAATGCACATCACAAATTGGATAAATCTCGAATCTGTTATGAAAGAAGCAAAACAAGTCAGTCATAGAAGTCTACATGTTGTATGACTCCATTTTTATGGAATGTCCATCATATACGGACTATAGCGCCAGGAAGTAGATTGTGATGGCACAGGGCTTGGGCAGGGCTAAGGTAGCCAGTGGAAGGGGGGAATAAATGCCAATACGTACAAGGAGATGTTAAAATGTTCTAAGATTAGATGGTGAAGCTAGTGATATTTATGAGTGTTCTAAGAGTATTGACGTGTATACTATTGATTGATTGATTGATCTGTGGTGGCACACACCTTTAATCCTAGCACTTGAGAGGCAGAGACAGGCAGATCTCTGTGAGTTCAAGGACAGCCTGGTCTACAGAGTGAGTTCCAGGACAAAGATACAAAGAGAAACCCTGTCTCAAAAAGTCAAAAATTAAAAATAAAAGAAATAGAGTTTAAAATAAAGCCACATAAAGATGGAAAACACACAGAGAATTTGGATACTCTATGTTCTCTTTGAATTGTTTGGATGTTGAGCTGGACACTTTAAATGGGTGGATTTATGTTTGTTAAATGTATTGCAATGAAACATAGAAATAAAACAGAAAGATAATGAAGGAAGGGAGGAAGGAAGGAAAGGAAAGAGGAAGAGAGCAGTTCAGCTGCCCCACTAGAAAGATACACAGAGAGGCCGCACAGAGCAGAGGTCATGGACTCAGATGGGGAAGGAGGAAGTCCTTGCTCTCCCAAAATCCACATCAAGTCTCTGAATAGCACCAACGCCGCAACAGAGCGTCAGAGCGAGACCAGCAGGTCCAGCCGACTGAGCGCAACCTGCACTGGCCACATGACATGATGAAATGGATGTGCTTTTAAACCACTAAAATTTGGAGCTTTTGTCCTACAGCAACAGATAACAAAAACACCCATTTGGAATGATACCACAAGTTCCAAACGGATCAGAGAATTGGGGGGGGGGGATTAAAAGAAAATATAGCTATATTCCTCTATTAACAGGGTATGAGGGAAATGTTCTAACGATGCCTCAAAATGACGGTTCTTTTAACATAAAATATTGATACATTTAATTGTTTTAAAATTGCTTAAGCTTTGCAGAGCAAAACCTCCATGAACAAAGTCAAAAGACATGTCAGGGTAAGATGAAATATTTATAACCTATATTATAGAAGAAATAAAAAGACCAAAATTGGGGCTTGGCAGAATGTTCCTTAGGTAAGCGGTTTCTCTCTGCAAGTGTGGGAGCATGCGCTCAGATTCTAGCACCCTGCAAAATGCCTGGTATGACTGTGCCTGCCTGGAGCCCTAGCACTGACGGACAGAGGGGCGGACCCCAGGAGCCCACAGGCTGGCTATGCTAGGCACAGGCTTCCTCTGCCTCAAGGTGATGAGCTGAGAGCGGTGGAGGAAGTCACCCAAGGCCCTTGAATGGTCTCCACAGGTGCAAGCAGGACTTGTAGACTTGTGCACACACAAAATATGATCAAAAAAGGGGGGGGGGGAGAACGAACAAAAGGAAAGAAAACAATCACTAAAATTCCTAGTATATAAAAACTTTTTCTTGCCAAGTGGTGGTAGCACAGTCCTTTAATCCCAGCACTCAGCATCTCTGAGTTCAAGGCCAGCCTGGTCTACAGAGGGAGTGCCAGGACAGCCAGGGCTCCGCAAAGAAACCCTATTTCAAAAAACTGAAAGAAAAAAAAAAATTTCTTTTTTTTTAAGATTTATTTTATTTTTAAGTGTATGGGGGGGAGAGAGAAAGAGAGTATATGTGCGTGTGTGCGTATGAGAGTATGTATAAACATATGTGTGTGGCTCCCCTAGAGCTTGGGTTACAGGAGGTTACGAGGCTCCATATGGGTGCTGGGACAGAACTCTGGTCAGGCCTTACTAGATCTTGAAAGCTGAGCCATCTCCTCAGTACCTTCCCATACCCCCCCCCCCCCCCCCCCCCCCACCCCCCCGCCACCCAACAACAAAAAAAACTTGCTGCTTCAGGCTCTTGAGCGCTCAGACTAAAGTTCCATACTACCACACACAGTTTATAAATAACTTAAAAAATTTAGGGTACATGTCAAAAATGTACCCTAAACACAGGCAAAGATATGGAAATGGAAAATTAACAACAACAAATGTAAAATTGACAAATATGAATCCCTGCTCAGCTCATCATAAGCAGAATGTAAATTAAAACCATCCCAAGGACTTCCCACAGGGCAGGGAACCCTGATTGCTCTTTGGGCTGATGAGGGAGGGGGATTTTAATTGGGGGAGGGGGAGGGAAATGGAAGGCGGGGGGCGGGGAAGAGACAGAAATCTTTAATAAATAAATAAATAAATAACTATCCTTAGGGATAGTTAGAGCCCTGAAAAAAAAAAAATCCCAAGGGCTCCTCGGCACTGCAGCTATCTTACAGAGGCACCCTGAGAAGGGATTTACTCTGTTTATGAGATGGGCAACAGTTCAATTTTTTTGTTTGTTTGTTTTGGTTTTGGTTTGGGGGGGGTTGGGGGTTTTTTGTTTTTTCGAGACAGGGTTTCTCTGTATCTTTGGAGCCTATCCTGGAACTCCCTCTGTAGACCAGGCTGGCCTCGAACTCACAGAGACCCGCCTGCCTTTCCAAATTCAAAGTCTTGACCGCACAACGCGCTGGTGGAATTAAAGAACCAGCCCTCATCTATTACAGGTGTAAGGAAAAGCCGTACAAAGCTGATGGAGAGGAATTTGGCAGTGTCTGGCAACGCCTCAGAGAGCCACGGCAGCCCAGAGGTCCCATGTCTAGAAATTTACCACGAGGACACAACTTCAACAGTCTAAAAAGACTCACGTGCCAGGCTGCTCTTCCAGCACTGTTTGTGGAGTTGGAAAAAAAAAAATCTGCAGATGGTCGTGATGATACATGCCTGTAATTCCGGCACTCAGGAGGCAGGAGGACTGCAAATTAGAGGCTGGGTTGGCTACATAGTGAGATCAACACTAGCCGAAACTATGCAAGTCTCCTCTGAAGGAGGAGGAGGAAGAGGAAGGAGGAGGAAGAGAAGGAGGAGGAGGAGGAAGAGGAAGGAGGAAGAGGAAGGAGGAGGAAGAGAAGGAGGAGGAAGGGAGGAGGAGGGAAGGAAGGCAGGAAGGCAGGAAGGCAGGAAGGCAGGAAGGCAGGAAGGAAGGAAGGAAGGAAGGAAGGAAGGAAGGAAGGAAGGAAGGAAGGAAAAGAGAGAGATGATTGGCTGGGTAAACTGATGGAATCTGACTAAAATAATGTTTTTAAAAGACCAAAAAAATTTCTATTAATTGATTTTCAGAATTATTGAAAGATTCAAGACAAGGCACTAGTAAGGTGGCTGGGCGTTGATGGTTGCTGCCAAAGCTGAGAAGGACCTGAGCTCCATCCCTTACAGGGAGCTCAGCAGAGATGACACTCAGACACCGTGCGCAGCCAACTGTGTTGGGTGACCTAGGTGTGGCCCTGAGTGTCTAGAACATGGGGTTTTAAGCGTAGAGACCTTGTCTAGGCATTTTGCTTAGCAGCTGCAAGGCGGCTTTGCAGAGTCAAGAGTTTGAAGTAAGCAATTGTAACAGAAGCTAGGATAATCGGTTGCTGGAGCAGTTTTAACAAAGGCTGATATGTTAGCTAGGACACCTGACCTTTGGTTCCTAAATAGAGTTGGAGAGTTTTCCCTGGGATTCTCCATCAAGGAGACCAGATTCTAGTTAAACCTGAAATTGCTGCATCTTCTTCAGCAAGAAGACAAGTTGGAAGAACCTTTGCACTGTCTTGCCCCTCTCACAAATCTCTGGGCTCCACGTGGTAGAACTGTCTCCGCAAATGTCCTCTGACCTTCCCACATACACCACGGCACAAGCATTTCCCAAGTGCATATGCACACACACAAAATTAATTAATTAATGCAAATGAAATTTTTAATTCAAAATTAAGGTAATTTTACATAATATGTAGACATGAGCTTTTGTTAGGATCAGGAACATCTCAGCAGGGCACTGTCTGAATAGCAGAACTTCCCAGAAGTGTGGCTTCCAAGAAGTCTTGCCTGACTTTGGACCTGGGGGCAGGTGCTCATGCCTTGTGGGGTGCTGGTCTCCGTCTCTTTTAGCTTGCTGGCTGGCATAAGCTGAACACTGCTTTGAGCAATACCCCCACCCTCATGTGCTGCTCACCTTAGACCAAAAGCAACAGGGCCACGCAGCAGCAGACTGACCCTGCCAAGACTGTGAGCCAAAACAACCCTTGTCTCTTTATACGTTTGTTTATTTATCTGAGGTATTTGCTACAGTTCAAGAAAGCTGACCGACCCAACCTATTCCTGTGTAAAAGATAAAAGAGAATAACATAGTATCTGTCTCTGTCTAGAAAATCCTCATTAGCGGGATAAATGAGAAAACAACAGCATGTTACCTGTGAGGGGTGGGAGGACAGGCCAGAAGGGTTAGGGGATGAGGGAAATTTTCAGGAGACACCTTTTTGTATGGCTTTGACTCTCTGGAAGCGTGCTAATGCACTCTGTTCAGAGGTCAGGGACTCTTTATAGTAAGGCAAACAAGAGCCCATAAATCATGATACCAGTGACTGACACTTGGTTCCAGTGTCCCCTCCACACTGTCTCTTGGGGTTCTTAAGCGTAGGTCCCACAAGACCATGCTCCTGCCTCTGTTGGGCTCTGCAAAGGTGACACAGGACAGGAAAGCTGCAAGGCTGGAGGAGGGAGGGAGGGAGGCTCTTCCTTCCCATTTGCCCGTCTAATTGAGTCTCACTCCAACGATGCCTCTTCAGGCTGGCAGTCTCAGTTCTTTCCCTCAGCCACGGTGGAACACTCCTTACAGTGGACAGCCAGTCCTGTCACACCACTGCAAGCGCCACAGCTCCAGTCAGCTGGCACTCCTCCCCAGAGCTGGATCTCAGGGTTGCCAGCTCCATAGGTCCCTTCCTCAGGTTGTTACATTGTAATCATCCGAACCTCCTCCTCTTATTCCCTCAGTAGTTGGAGTGCTAGCTCTTCCTCATGCTGCTGTCACAAGACCTCGGGACAGCAGAGCCCAGGCCTCGGGACAGCAGAGCCCAGGCCTCGGGACAGCAGAGCCCAGGCCTCGGGACAGCAGAGCCCAGGCCTCGGGACAGCAGAGTTCAGGCCTCCGGTCAGCAGAGCCCAGGCCTCCGGTCAGCAGAGTCCAGATCTCGGGACAGCAGAGTCCAGGCCTCGGGACAGCAGAGTCCAGGCCTCCGGTCAGCAGAGCTCAGGCCTCAGGACAGCAGAGTTCAGGCTGACTCGGGTCAGCAGAGTCCAGGCCTTGGGTCACCAGAGTCCAGGCCTCAGGACAGCAGAGTTCAGGCTGACTCGGGTCAGCAGAGTCCAGGCCTTGGGTCACCAGAGTCCAGGCCTCGGGACAGCAGAGTCCAGGCCTCGGGACAGCAGAGTTCAGGACAGCAGAGAGTTCAGGCACACCTTTCCTCGCTGTGACAAAATGCTGGACACAAACGACTTAAAGGGAGGAACTGCTTATCTGAGCTCAAGGTTTCCAAGGTGTCAGTCCACCTTAGCAAGGAAGGTGCAGCAGGACATGTCAGCTCATATCATGGAAGCAGAGAGGGAGACAGAAAGGGACAGACAGACAGAGAGCACCTGCGTTTGCTGTGGGAGAATGCTCTTGGACACTGCAAAGATTTGTCACTCGTATTAGTTTAATAAAACGCTGACTGGCCAGTAGTTAAGCATAAAGTATAGGCAGAGTGACCAGACTAAGAGAATTCTGGGAAGAGGAAAGGCAGAGACACAACCACTACCCAGATGCAGGGAAAGTGAAATGAGAATGCCTCACTGATAAAAGGTGCCAAGCCACATGGCTAAATATAGACAAGAATTATGGTCTCTCTCACTTGCCTCGATTCTTCCTCCTACTACCTCTCTCTGCGCGGAAGTCCCACCTACACTTCCTGCCTAGCTAATATCCTAACTATTGGCCCTTCATCTTTTCATTACACAATCACAGCAATAGACCTTCACACAGTTTAACAAACGTGATTCTTAATAATGTGTCAAAATTCAGAAGAAGGCATTATGGAGTCAATGATATCTTCTCATGACTCATGCATGAGATTACAAAATAACACGGAAGTAAAGATTAGCTGAAAGTTAAAGAGAGGTTGAGAGCCCTTGATGTCAGAGATATTTTAAAATCTTTTTTCAGACACGGTTTTAGATTCCACATAAAGATTAGTCTTAAGAATAAACTTACCGCATGATCTGTTCTCATGTGGTATCAAAAGGTAACACATAAATACTAAGAAAGCCTATAAAACTGTTTCTCCATTTTCCTGTGTGTGTGTGTATGGTGTATACATGTGTGTACATCTCTGTGAGCAAAGACCAGAAGACAGCACATTTCTTCCTTTATTGTTCTACAGTTTAATCCCCTTAAGTGGAGTCCTCACTGAACCTGAAACTCTGCATTTATGCTGGCAGCTCCCCAGTAGCCACTGTCTCCACCCTGAACTCCTGGGATGACGGGCACATCTGTCCTTTTACGTGGGTACTGGAACTAGAACCCAGGTCTTTGTGCTTGTATGGCGAGCAATCTTACACAGTGAACTGTCTCCCCAGCCCCTATTCGTCCCTTTCCTAACTATAGACCTGGGTGAGACTAGTGTGAGGGCTAACGTTTCAGGTTTAAATCACTGTAAACGAAATGCCTCGAACCTGTAAACCCCACTTGGCTAAGGACGGGTAAGATCATAAGCCGTGTGTTTTCATTTCTATAAACAAGGTTGGCTGTCATAACCGCACAGAATGTACTTGATCACACACGGCGGGAGATATGTGTGTCAGGATGTATGCTCGCCCCGACTGGACAAAAGCCAGGAAGTATGGAGCCTTGCGGATTTGCCTTCATAAGCATCTGACTAATTCTGGCCATTCTCTGGGAATCCTGAGAATGAACCTGGCCAGTGTCCATCATCCTGGCCAGTATTTAATAAAGCTTGCTTCAAATTTGGTTCAAAAGTTGTAGCAGTCTCAGTCCCACCCAGTGGGATCAACACAGTTTTCCTTCATAACTTATCAAAATGGCATGACCTGATGCAGTGAATACAAAAACAGATGGGATTATTCAGCTGCTCTATTAAGTCAGACATTAAAGAGATTTCCGAAACTATCAATGTCACTATTCTCATTAAAATTTGTATATTGTTATTCCTCATCAATTTAAACTGTGTTATTAGTGCTGGGCATGAGGGCGTACACCCTGTAACTCCTGCGCCTAGGAGGCTGAGGCTGGAGGATCTCAAGTTTGAGGAAAGCCTGGGCTGCATAGTGATACAGTCCAAAACCAAGACTGTAACTGCATTGACCTGCAATGGGCTCGCTGCTGATCTTAAATGAATTTTAAAAATAAACACTGTGGAAAGTTCTCACTTTCTTTCTGATGATACATGCTAACCACTTTTACCTGCGCAGACATTCTAAGGGCCCCTCCGGGAGTCCGCACAAGTACGAAAGACTCCCGTAAGCAACAGGTTTAAGACACGATACTCAAAGTCCCTTTCAAGCCGTCTTCAGCCCACTTAACTCAATACCTTGTTTAACAGCTATTTCTATTCCTTCTGCTCATAGGAACTTTTTTAGGGCTGGCGGAGTGGCTCAGAGGTTAAGAGCACTCGTTGCTCTTGCAGAGGATACTGGTTTGACCCCAGCATCCACATAGTGACTCATAACCATCTGTAACTCCAGCTCCAGGAGACCTGATACCCTCTTCTGACCTTTGGGGGCATCAGACATGCAAATGGTGTACATGCATACACGCAGGCAAAACATCCATATACATAAAATAAATCTTTAAAAGATCAGAACCTGATTTTTAAAAGTATAACTATATAAGTGCCCCCTAGAAGTGTTTTTGATGCAGGTCTTGGAGACTTTCCCGTGATCCTTCACACAGATAGCCCGGTGCTCAGGAGAACGTTCCTGTCAAACCTTTGAGAAGTCTCCGTGCAGTTCCTGCCTGTGGTGTATGCTGCCAGGCAAATTCTAACCACCTCAGCCTCCTCTGCTGAGTTCTGCTTGTTTTTCCGTGCCTGAGCTCTGGTCTGGAATTTGCTTCAAGGCAGAAATCCGGGACCAGCTAGTCACTGGTTACCTCATCTGTCCTTCTCCAGCCGGTTTCTGAACCTTTGAAATCCGTGTCCCACCTTGCTCTGGTTTTCCAGACGCTTCCACGGAGGGCTGGCCCCGTGTCTGCTGGCTTTTGATAACTGGAATAAACTCTTTCAACCCTCCTGCTCTGCTTGAAACCAACGGGCCTGGATTTCAGCCATCCCAGGCCCTGTTGGACGGTGAGCCCCGCTCACCCTTAGCCTGGCAACATGGGCCTTCTGAAGGTTCCAGAGCTCTGACCTCAAACTCCAGCACGAAATGACACATTGCCCTCCCCATGCCTCCACAGAATGAAAGGGAAGCATTGTATTTTTAACTAAAAAGCCCTGGATTTCACGGGTTGGTATAAATTAACATGGCGGGAGGGCGTACATGATACACCAAAATGTTAACGAAGACAATACAACCACAGAGTCCTTTTTTTTTCTGGACTTTCTAAAGTTTAAATAAATGAACATGTGCTATCTTTAGAAAACAGAACAATGTCCCTTATTTATGGTCTCCTCCCACGGGGTGACATTTCATTGTGCCTTAGTACAAATACAGGCCAGGGTGTGGCAGATACGGGGCTCACCTGGGCGGTTGCCAGGGTCTGCCCTGGATCCACGGCGCGGACCATTGAATTCTGGCATCCTCCTTTCCCTAGCTCCCAGCAGAAGGTTATTTGAAGAGCTCCCTTGTTTGTCAAGCAAATGACTGTGGCCCAAGAAAACACGTCTTTCTCAGAAAATTTTCCAGACCTTTCTGCTACAGCCAAGACTCCCTGAGGAGCCTGAGGGAAGGAGTCCTGAGGAAGTCGTGGTTTATTTGTCGCCCGGGCTTAGGACCTAGCAGCCTTTGCTTCCCTGCTAGTCCAGGCGGAGACCTAAAGGAGGCCAGCCTTTCTGCTGTGGGCACACACCGCCGTTGCTCAACTCCTGCGTCCCCTTTAAAAAAAACGAAAACACACGGTTCCTCAGACTCCAGAGCAGGAACTCTGGAGACGTTAGCATATTCTGGCAAGGAGCCTGATGGATAATAGATAACAGGTTATCCAGGAAATAATTAGAAGCCGGCGCCCACACGGATCGGTGGCACACACTGACCCCTGTCGTTCAGGATGTGGCCCCGAGAGTCAGAAGCCTTTCTTCTTTCGCTTTCAAGCGTCAGAAAAATGTCAGGCCTTTCTGAGGTGACAAGCTAACAAGTGCTCAGTTTCCAAGAGGCACTTAAGACCCTCCTAAGCGGGTTCTCGGGAGTCTGGGGACCCAGCAGGTTCCTTCCCATGAGCCCCTGGGCAGGACGGGTGGTGAATCAGCTTATCAGCCCGCTCCTACTGTGTTAGAGGCCTTTGCTCAGGGCCTCTCCACCCCTCCTGCTTCTTCCTGCCGCTTGTCTGCCCCTGAAGTGTCTGCTTTCACAGTCCACGCCTGGCTACTGAGCGGAGTGGCCCTGTCTCTTCTCCAGTTCAGAACATCACCCCAGAACCCCACCACGCACTGTTTTGTTTGATCTTGGGACTCAGAAGTATCCGCGTATGTTTATAAATGCAGTCTCGGTATGCGTCCACTGCCGTAGATATATTCTGATGCTGGGCTGATGGCCCTAGACGGCTTCCACCATCTTCATCTTTTTCTTTGGTAAGGAGTGTGGGATTTGAATGTATACAGGAACGGAGGGACGGAGTGGCGCAGACAGACTAAAGACCGCGGATTCCATTTTCTCTTTCTACATCTTTGAGTGGGGCTGACATTTTTTTTTTTTTCAGTTCTAAAAGTAACAGTAATAACAAAGATCCCTTACTTTGACCACAGAAGCTGCGGGCTTCGGTCAGCACACTGGGTACACCTCTGGACTCTTTTCCTAGTCTGGCTTTATTAACCCCATTTCACAGAGAAGAAACCGAGACTGGGGCAATTAAGTGACCTGCCCAAGGTTCGCACACACAGCCCAGAAATAAAAACTGGAGCTGTCAGAATTCTTAAAATCCATCGCCCTAAAACCTAAAAACCTGAACAAACTGGTTCCACGCAAATTAACGTGCCGTTCACTCACGTTTTATACCCACATGCTCCAACTCTTTCAAGCAAAGTGGTGTGTGTCCTGGAAATTATTAGGGAATGCCCTCCCCGACAAGGGTGGTGGGAAGTTGTGGTATATTGCCTATAGCATCCACAGCCACCGTGTTCAGTTTGCCAAGAGCACCTAGGGCTTCATTTCATCTGAACCTCACCCTCCAAACACCCGGTAACTCAACATTGTTTCTCATTGCCTCTCCTCCACCTTGAATTAAAAACGAAGTTTAAAGCCGGGCAGTGGAGGCGCAGGCACTTAATTCCAGCACTGGGGAGGCAGAAGCAGGTGGATCTTTGTGAGTTTGAGGCCAACCTGGTCTACAGAGCTAGTTCCAGGACAGGCTCCAAAGCTACACAGAGAAGCCCTGTCTCCAAAAACAAAAAAGAAAAAGAAAAAGGGAAGAAGGAAGGAAGGAAAGAAAAAAAAAGAAAAGTTTAAGCTAAGAGTAGAGAAGCTGTTTATTCAAGGTCCTTGGGTTCCTACGTAGTTTGAATTTAGACTTCTAATTCTCAACTCTACCTCTGTCTTACCATCTCAGCCATCTTCGAGAGGCCTCTCAAAACACGTGAAGGACCCTGGAGGCCTCCCCAGCCCTTTGCTCGTTCAGTAGGGCACAGTTTGTAAAGTACAGGGCGTGGTCAAGAACTCAGGCTCAGAAACCAAATTACTAATGGCAAATATCAACTCTGTCACGTGGAAGTAACGTGACTTTATCTCCTCAACCAGAAGATAAGAGAGCCGAATGTTCCCCCTAAGACTGCAGTTAATGGGGTGCTGGAAAAGTGCTGGGGTCACACTCCCTATCAAGAAAGCTGCCAGTCAATGGAAGCTGCTAACTTCTGCTGTCTCCAGAAGCTGGATTTACAGCGGAGTGCGGTCTCAGCGAGCACAGTTTATGTTTTCCTGTCCGAGACGGGCTTCCAGACGTCACTGGTCACTGCCTCGGTTTTAGTCCCCACTGCACACAGTAGACACTGCTAAAAGGTTTGAGGACAAGGAGTTGGCTTAGTCAGGGGTCCCAGAAAGCTCTGAGCGAGAGTGGGGGGGGGAGTGAGGCAGGAGGGGGATGTTACAGGAAACAATGAAACACCACAGGGGGCCACTGTTTGGGATAAAGCCCCTGGGTAGATCCTACCGATCAGAGGAAGAGGAAAATCAGAATTACTACCTTGTTATCTGGACTTTCTGGAGAGGGGCAGAGCACAGCCTCACCTTCCAATCAGTTAATATCTCTCTCTCTCTCTCTCTCTCTCTCTCTCTCTCTCTCTCTCTCTCTCCTGCTACTGCTGCCCCCCCTTCTGCTCTCTCTGTCCTCCCTCCTCCTCCTCCTCTTCTCCCTCCTTCTCTTCTGGTTTTCTTCAGTGCTTTTATATCCGCAAAGACTAAACCCTGCTGCTTGGCTCATTGACGCACATATTTTATTTGGTTGAATGAAGCAGCGCTGGCTCCAGAACCACAGATAAAGCCAATGAAGATCTCTAAATTAGAGTTTGGCCTATGGCCCAAGGAGCTCTGCATTGTTCTTCGGATGGGTTTTAAGAGGCCTGTCTCAGGAGTCGCTGAGGTGGACAGGGTAGTAATAAAGTTGAGTCTTAAAAGCCTGAAATCAAGATACTTACAAATCTAGGGACCTTGGACAAACCCGTCTGAGTGCAAGGTCCTGGATTCCATCCCCAGCGCCACGTAAACGGTTTGTGTTAGTGCACACCTTTAATCCCAAAAAGCAGGAGGTGAAGGCAGGCTATGTATCTACAGTCTGGGATATACGAGACCTGTCTCAAAAAGGAAAAAAAAAGTCTTCAAATAGAAAACAATTATTATAAGTTTGTATTTTTTCATTTTATTTTACTTTTATAAATATGGATGTTTTGCCTGCATGTATGTGTGTGCATCATGTGTGTGCAATGCCCGAGGAGGCCAGAAGAACACACTGGATCCCCTGGCTGGAGTTACAGATGGTTGTAAGCTGCCCTGTGGGTGCTTACATGTACATACCTCTGAGCTGCACCTAGGTCCTCTGGGAGTCACTGAGCCATCTCACTAGCCTGTAAGTTTGCCTTTTGATCCAGGCGACCCAGTTAGGGGTTAGTGAATAGGTTTTCAAAAGGGGGGAGATTCAAATTCCTCTGAGACCTTCTGATAACTTACTTGGCACACTCCTTGAAATGGTCCCTGAGAGCCCTCCACCCATGGCCACTGGTCAGGGTCACTTCTGGGACAAGCTCTGCAAGGGCCAGAGCACTGCTCAGGCATGCAGAAGCAGGAAGCAGTTGGTGCCCAAGAACAACAGGCAAGTGACCTTGGAGTGGGCCAGCTGTGAGGGGTGGAACCCCAGCTGGCAGCTACAAGCACTCTCCACTCCACAACTACTCCCTTCCCAGAAACACTTGCCAACCAGCCTAGTAGTTTGCTCTGGATCCAGCATCAGACAGTAAAATTTCCTCTTTGAACTGTAAATACTAGATGAGCACTTTCAGAATTTCTGTATAACCAGGCTGGGATGTAGTTTAGTGGTAGAGAACATGCTTAGCCCTGGGTTCAAATCCAGCAAATACAAAACCTCTAGGTACTCAACAACCCCCACAAGGTCCCTGCCCAGTGGACATGGTTACAAAAATGCACATATGTGCATGCGTGTGTGCATGCATGTGTGCGTGTGCGTGCGCGCACGTGTGTGTCTGCATGTGTGTGTGTGTGTGTGTAAAAGAGAAAGAGAGCGCAGCAAGGCAAAAGCAATCCTCCAGAGCTGTCCTGCAGCTTCCAAATCTTCTATACACAATTATAAACAGTTTGGTGATTTCAGTTAAGTGTTGATTCCAAGACCCTGGGGGAAACTTCCCAGCATCTCCCCTTTATCTCAGCAAACCCTACAAGGCATAAGAAGTCCTGTTCTGGCTGCTGTTCTCAGGTTTGGATGCTTTCAGAATGTTGTTGCTTTTAGAGTAAAACAGCCCCGCTTTCTGACACTTCTTTGTTCAGTGTACACATGCATCAAGACTCTAAAACAGACATTCTGTCCAGGCGCAAAGGCACCAGAACTCACACTCTGAGGTGCAGCACCAAAACATCCTGCAGAATTTAGACAAAAGGACGCTCGTTCTGTGACTCTTAAACTACTTCCTCATGGTGATGAAATGGCTCAGACTTTGAAGATAAATGCAGATTTGTGTTCTATGGGAGAGACAGTACGGGGGCGGGCTGCCATAGAAAGTTTATGGAAAGGGGCTTCAACTCATCCATTGCGGGACCTCATAGGCATTCCTTGTGAGCTTAGGAAACACACAAGACTGAGTCCCATCTAGAACGTCTAAAAAGCAAATAGTGGGCTGGTCTCGGCTCTGACTGCGGAATAAAAAGAGGTCAAGGGATGGGGCTAGAAACACTCGCGGTTCCCAAGGTCATCTCAACAGAGGGTGCGCAAGTGTGTAGTCAGGTATGAGTCAGTCTAAGAAAGGAAGGCAAGCCCCAGGTCCGTTCCTAGGGTTGCATTGAGGGATGGACAGACCCCAGGGGGAAGCCCCAAGTCTCATCAGACTCCTAGAGGCTGAACAGCATCTCTGACAGAGGAATCTCTCTGGGAGGCACGCTCTGAGGAGAACATCCTCAGAGGAAGGAAAGATCACCATAGAAAGACCTCTGAACAGCAACACTTCACGTAGAACAGTCAAGAAAGAAAATCCCAGTCCCCACACCATTTCTTAAACCTGGATATCCAACATGGTTTTCTTTTTTTTTTTTTTTTTTTTAAATATTTATTTATTATGTATACAATATTCTGTCTGTGTGTAAGGTCTGCAGCCAGAAGAGGGCACCAGACCCCATTACAGATGGTTGTGAGCCACCATGTGGTTGCCGGGAATTGAACTCAGGACCTTTGGAAGAGCAGGCAATGCTCTTAACCACTGAGCCATCTCTCCAGCCCCTCCAACATGGTTTTCTATTTTTCTGTTTTGTCCTGAGATGAGCCCTCACTATGCAGCCAAGGCTGGCCTTAGAAGCAGGATTCTCTTGCCTCAGCTGTCGAAGTGACGGGATTATAGGTACATTCAGACTTAGAACATGCAGATAATAAATGGAGAACTATTCACAGCTGACCGTGAATCGCTCCTACCAGCCCCTTTCTTACTACCTCTCAAGAATCCTAAGCTAGGAGATGAGAGAGAAACCAGTTTTCAAATAAAAGGTCATGGGGGGGTGTCCATTTTCCATTACAATAACAAAATACCCAAGGCTGGGTGCTGGCTCCCTCAGCCATGACACACAGTGATGGAGCCCACACACCTGGGAGAGATCACTTAGGAGTTAAGAGGCCAGAGGGTGGGAAGGAACCAGCCTTGTCTTCTGAAAGATCCGCCACTCATGTCACCACACAGACGATGGAGCTCCCACTCGTGAGCCTTTGAAGGACATGCTCAAAGCACAGCAAAGAAGGGGTGGTGAAATTGTTACATTTACGTTGTGTGGTTTAGGGCTGTGTGACCAGAGCCTCATGGAGTTTGCCCTCACTTTCACCTGGGGCAGAGGAAGCCTTTACTGCCTTGAGCAGATAGGAGAGAAGAAAGAGTGGGAAACCAAAATAGTTTCGCTTTTTAATTGTATTTGCCGAGTCATGTTTGTGGAGCACGGCAAGAAGCTGTATTTCCAAGACTGGGAGATATACTAGTGTCCGGGGAGACAGTGGACTCTGGTTTCTGAGTCAGAATCCCAGAGGACTTCACTAGAGAGGTAAGATGGTCTGTATAAATAGGCCAGGGCCCACAGCATCCATGAGCCCTAGTTAGGAAGTCTCCATTGCTCCCCACTCAATTACAAGAGGATCTGACTTAAAATGGGAAATAAGGTTCTCTCTGCTATAAGACCATGGAGGAAGGTGGCCGCACCTTGTCATTGGGATACTAAACTCTACTGAAAATCCATCACATACATCACAGAGCCTGACCAATGACAAATCACACAGAGATTTGAGAACGGTTGTGGATACTTCAGTAAACAGAATGTTTGGAGGGACCTTCTTAATCACTTGTCTCTCTGCTCCAAGCCCAGCCTGTGTGATGCTGGAGCCCAGACTCCGCCAACCACAATTTGGCTTTGCCAGCTGGCTCCGTGGGTCATCTTCTTTGTGGTAAGAATGTGGCAGGCAGAGGAAGGGAAAGGAGGTTCCCTTGTGTCTGCTTCCTGCCGGATTTCTGCTCCTGCCGGGGTCACCTTAGCCTCCTCTCTGAGTCCTGCAGTGAGCGCCTGGCAGTTTATAGCTCTCCCAACACTTGCAGAATCCAGGAGACCTGGAGTCCCAAGACCCCCTCTCCAGCTCTGGGAGAGCAGCCACAGCTGTGGGTTTTTACCTTTGACTGATTCCCACCCCTCCCCATTCCCACCCCTGAGGACAGAGGCTGCTTCCTGTAGCTCTCCAACAAGACTTCCGCATCTTCTCTGATGCTTACCTGGTTAACAGCTCCGTTCTCGTCAATACATCTTCTGCCCTCTCTGGTCAAACACCTGACGATATTTCCTGCCAACAGGCTGGCTCTTGACTGAGAGGCTTCTTAATGAAAACCGAAGAGCTGGAATGCCTCAGGGAACTATTTGGGATTAAAAAGAGAAATTAGTCAGGCCTCTGTGGGGAATAGGAGTGGCTTGCCTGTCTGTCTTTCTGCCTTCCTT